AGTGGAGGAGAGGCTCAGCATTGAAGCTGAGCCAAGTGGACGGGCTGTGGAGGTAGGCCCGGCACTCGGGAGAAAGAGTCCCAAGCAAAATTGGAGACGGACCCCGCCCAGAGAGAGGGAGAAGGGACCCGGAGGATGTCTCTGCCACGCAGGACAACCGAAAACCTGAGGAGAAATACACATGCCAGGACATGGACACTTGATAAGCAGAACCACACTGCAGCAGCCTACGAACCAAGGTATGAGAGAGAGAGAGAGATCACACAGCAGCAGGAGAGCAAGGACTCAGAGCTATCTTCCTGGACTTCATGAGGAGGAGAGACTGCAACAAACAACTGGAACTTGGTGAGGGGGGAACGTTCAGGCCCAGAACACTCCCACAGAGGGACTGGTTACTTTCCAGCCTTGAAAAGGCTCTTTCCTGGACTAAACTTAAAGGAGGGGCTTGAAAGGACTGATTGATAGAGATGTAATATATATATAGTTGTTTTTAGTTTGTATAGTATTTATTTGTGTAAATAAATGTATATACTTCCCCCTTCCCCTATAGAAGCCTCTGGCCTGAAAGTTTCTCTTCGGTGTTGGCATAAATTGTGGGAGGGGGTGGAGAAGCCTGAAAATTGGATTTCTAGATTTCTAACGTGGCTCAAACTGCCACACAAGGCATGGCAGGATTAATTATTGGCAGATCCAGCATATCGAAACGAGGTGTTTTAGTGCTGCCTGGTCTTGTTGATTCAGATCATCAAGGGGAGATAAAAGTAATGCTTACTACCTTGTCTGGCTTTTCTGTACTCAGTAAAGGGCAGGGAGTAGCTCAATTCTTATTGATGCCCTTCTGGGTCCCTAATAACAGCACACGAGAGCGAGAGGTGGATTTGGAAGCACTGATGGTCAAATAAACTGGGCGGCAGAAATAACGAGCCGGCAGCCTATGCTAACTTTGCACATAAAGGATAGGGATATAATAGGATTGCTTGATATGGGGGTGGATGTCTCTGTAATTTTGGCTGGAGTCTGGCCTGCGACCTGGCTGCTGAAAGATACACAACATATCATTTGGGAATCAGGGGTATTGAGATACCTAAGCAGAGTACGCATGTTTTGCCAGCACGTAGTCCAGGAGGACAGATAGCCTGGTTTCAGTCTTTTGTTTTGAGCACTCTGATCTCCCTGTGGGGATGAGATTTGCTAGAGCAGTGGAATGGGCAGCTTGTGACTCAGCCTGCAAATTTATGCAAGTGGCCACTGACAAACCCCTGCTCAAACTGACATGGTTAACTGATAAGCCAGTTTGAGTCGATCAGTGGCCATTCAGGCACATAAATTAGTACAACAGCAACTGAATGCAGGGCACATAATTCTATCTATGAGTCCTTGGAATACTCCCATTTTTGTGATGCCAAAAAAGAATGGGAAGTGGCGGTTGTTACATGGTCTCAGAGGCATCAATGCTGTACTGCAGCCTATGGCACTGTTACAGCCAGGGGTTCCTGTCCCGACCCTATTGACTAGAGACTGGGTTCTCACTGTCATTGATCTTAAAGATTGCTTCTTCACAATCCCATTACATCCCAAGGACAGTGTTAATTTTGCCTTCTCTTTGCCTGTGATTAATAATGCAATGCCCATGCAACGATATCAATGGGTCGTGTAGCCAAAGGGTATGATGAATAGTCCTACAACGTGCCAGGCTTATGTGGCGGCTGTGCTGAAATCCATCAGGGAGAGGTATAGCTCTTGCATTATTTATCACTATATGGATGACATTTTGGTATGTGTTCAGCAACAGGATCAATTAAATATAGCACTGAAGGAGCCATTGCAGGAGTTGCAAGCTAATGGGTTACAAGTTTCTGCTGAAAAGGTCCAGACATGCCCACTATGGAAATATTTAGGCTGGATATTATCCGAGCAGTCTGTCATGCCACAGCCATTGACTCTAAAGCCAGTGGTAAAGACGCTGAATGATTTACAGAAACTGTTGGGTTTAATTAATTGGGTTTGTCCACTTCTAGGCATCACTACACAGCAGCTGAAGAGTCTATTTGATTTATTAAAGGGCGATAGTGATTTGACATCACCGCGCACCTTAACAAAGGGAGCAAAGGAAGCTATATGCCTCCTTAGTCAGCAAATTGCTTCGCACAAAGCGGACCGAGTCGAGCCTGACCTTCCCATAAGATTGTTTTTCCTATGGCAGTATACCCTTCTGCACTGCTGGGACAGCTTAACGAGCACAGTGTCATACATTTAGAATGGATATTCTTGTCACATACTCCAAAGAAAACAATAACCCCAGTGCAGGAATTATGTGCAGAATTAATTAAGCAGGGAAGATATCAGTGCCAGCAGCTTATGGGATATGATCCTGCTTGTCTGCATTTGCCTCTCATAGTCAAAGATTACGAGTATCTGTTGCAAAACGCAGAATGCTTTCAAATTGCTCTAGCTGATTTCATGGGAAACTTTTCTTTGTCAGCAGATAAATTGTTGCACAGGATGGTGCAATTACCTTTTAACCCTGAATGTACTCTTATCACCTGTGCCTATCCCAGGTGCAAGAAATGTGTTTATAGACGGGTCTGGGAATACAAAAAAGGCTGTCGTAGCATGGCAAGAAAAAGGGATATGGAAACATGCTTACACCCGAGAAAATAGTTCAATGCAGCAGTGCGAGCTTCGTGCAGTAATTTTCTGTTTAAAACTGAAGCAATTAATGTTATTGCTGATTCTCAGTATGTGGTGGGTGTTGTACAAAGAATTCATTCAACTCTGCTGAAGGAATTAAATCAGAAAATTCTCTTTGAATTGTTTGTCCAACTCAAGGTCCTTTTAGAAAAAAGGACAGCCCCATTTTTCATCTTGCACATTCGCAGCCACACTTCTCTCCCTGGTCCTATTATGGAAGGGAATGCAGTTGCCGACTGATTTGCGGTGGCAACCTTGCAGTTTGATTATGTGAGAGCTTTGCATTCCTTTTTCCATCAAAATGCATTTAGTTTACACAAACAGTTCAGCCTTACATTTGCTCAGGCTAAGGATATCGTATGAACTTGTCTGGAATGTCAGAAAATATCGTCTCCTATCCCTCCACAAGGAGTTAATTCCCAGAGATTACAGGCCAGTGATTTGTGGCAGTCAGATGTTACACATATTGCAGCATTTCGACGGCTTCGCTTCATCCATGTCACAATTGACACATTCTCGGGCTTTCTGTGTGCATCTGCTCACACTGGAGAGAAAACCAGTGATGTGCATCAACATTGGACTCGATGCTTTGCAACGATGGGGCTGCCGTGGCAAATTAAGACAGATAATGGTCCCGGGTATTTGGCTGTTGACATGTGGAATTTTTTGCAACAATGGGGAGTTCGTCATCTCTGGCATACCACATAACCCACAGGGGCAAGCTATTGTCAAACAGCACCACTCGGTGTTAAAGGCTATGCTCTTAAAACAGGGGGAATATGACACCCCAGGAACAATTAGACAAAGCTGTATTTACTCTTAATTTTTTGAATTTGAATCACTTTAATTGTAGTAGAGCATGCCATCATTACATGAACAAAAGCCAAAGGTATTATACAGGGATCCACAGGGGAATGCTCAATGGCAAGGTCCAGTTGAGTTGTTAGTGTGGGGAAGGGGGTATGCATGTGTTCTTTCATCTGCAGGACCCTGTTGGCTTCCAGCACATCTGGTAAAACCCTATCATGAGTTGGACGGATTCGACATGCAATCCGATTCCGCAAATGAAGAAGCTGACCCTCAAGACTCCTAGAAAGAGACCAAGGAATGCCGAGCGGTGCAAGGCCTACCCGGACATCATGTGGGGAAGCTTGAAAAGATTGCAAGATCAGGCAGAACAGATGATGGAGGCTGTCGGAGCTACATCTAATCCGCAAAACATCTTCCTAGCCTATCTGGCCATAGTGGCCAGCAACAGTATGGTAAAAGGGGCATTTTATGGCGTGATGTGGGTCTCCTTGTTCAGTCTAACTCAGTCTCACGTTTATCGGGCTCGTATACTTGACCCTCCAATGTTTCGACCAGTGACACGGTGGAATGCAGAAATGCCACTCTCTAACAATGATACTAACTGGACTGGGGGTGTTTGGCTGCCACCTCGTGGCTCTTTGGAGGAAAAAAAAGACTGGATTAAAAGTAATGGAAGCCAAACCTTTTATACACATCTACCACCTGTATGTCTTGCCAACAGACCAATTAATGGCTGTTTACCATTTGTAGAAAAATTCCACTTATACTATCTGCAAAGGGAAGATAGGGGACACACCAGTGGGAATTTAACCTTTTTCTCTATGGCTGGATTTGATCATATCCTGATTGACAAAGAAGCGGGGGAATTGTCCCCCTCTCAACTACCCATTTGCAAAATTCCACGAAGCACCACATTAGATACACTTGCTGTGCAGTTGCCCCAAGTAGACTAACAGCTCCAGGGATAATAAACATTGGATTACCTGGGGTAAAAATGATGGATTGGGGACTGAGGAGTCATTTGATCACCAACACATCACATCCTGTAAACTTTGCACAACTTACAATGGAGACCCTTAAATGGGCAGAAGGGGGTCTCTCAGGACCAGTACTGCAGGCAATATATAAAAACAGTTCTGGCCCTTGGGTGAGCAAGCTATGGAAGGCTGCAATGCCATTTCTAATTAGACATGTAGCCCATGGACACTGTTCTAGGGATAACTCCTTGTATTGACTAACTCTCACTAACTGGCATGATAACTCAGTCATAGTGTGTACCTCTCACACATATGTCTTCTTGGCCGCACCTGACGTTGTGATTAGTGATACTAACAATACCTTTAACTTTACTTTTAACTTTAGCAATACCTGTAAGTAATCCTTATTATTTCATTTGTATTACAAATCAAAATGTATCTACTCTTAATTTTTCAGTAATAATTTCTATGTGCAGAAGAGCTGAACTGTGGCTCCCAGTGAACCTAACCAGAAGCTGGGAGGATGATGTTGGATATAGTAAATTAGTGAAACTGTTAACATAATCAAGAAATTAGATGAAAAGGTTCATCGGATGGCTAATTGCTTTTATCATTTCTGCAATAATCATAGCAGCTACCGCAGCCATGGCTACTGCTGCATTGGCCCATTCAGTACATACCATGCATACAGTGGTCAGTGTATTGGGTAATATGTCAGTATCGATGGCTACACAAACAAGTATAGACCAGCAAATATTAGCAAGGCTTGAAGCAGTAGAAGCAGCTTTAATATGGATCAGGGATAGACTAGATGCTATGAGTAATAGGATGACCTTAAAATGCGATTGGGAACACCAACATAAAGGATTATGTGTCATTCCATGAGTATGGAATGACAGCCATTTTGACTGGGTACAAGTTCAAACACATTTGCAGGGCGCCTTCACTACAAACATCGATGGCAAAATTCAAGATTTGGCTAAAGCAATAAAATCACAGATGTCTCAAACTCGATCTTTAGCTGAACAAAGTGTCTGGTGGGAGTTGTCTGATAACATTCAATGGTTAAATCCCAAACATTGGTTTGAAGGACTCAATTTAAGGATCTGGATATTTTGTGACAGTATCAGGTTTTTTAATAATCTGTTTTTAATATTTCAAGTCCTCTGGAAGTTTCAGTCTACACATTTCATTGTGAGTAAGTGAGAAAGGAGTCTGAAGGAATAAGATATTTTTGTCCTTTACAGGAAGCAGTTAGACTGACCTAATTTATATTTCTTCTCTTTTTGCTACAGATTTCCACATGCATACAATTTAGCTTTCTTAAGATCCTGTTATGGCTTGGATGAGACTTGAGTTACAACACTGTTGATTGAAAGAGTTTAAATACAAAAAATGTTCCCTGAATGCTTGCCTTGTCTGTATGCTCATTTGAGCTAAGAAAACTGAAAAAGGATTTTTTTTGAATTTAGGCAGATAAAACATTTTAAAAGGAAAGCAAATGTTGTTGCAGCCAAGAGCAAATGTTACTGAGTATGACTTATGCGATATATGTACTTTTTCAATTAGAAGGAGTAGAAGTTATAGACCCACTCTTTTATAACATTATCTTTGTGCTGACTGTTCACAGTAACATACTAAGCAGCACAAAACTCTCACTAAACACATAAACTCAGTCATGTGCATCACATCCCACAGTTAGCAGAACTGATTATGCATTTAAAGCAAGCTTTATCTAGAAATAGAAATTCTTACTAAGCTTTTTTTCATTGGCTTCTATTTTCTTTATTTAACCTAATTGAAAGCCGCTTTAAAATGCATTGATGACATCAACATTTGGATAGGATTCTGAACTGATGGTTCTAGGTTCCAAGCCTTTGAAATGAATGAAAGTTCTTTTCGAAGCATGAAATTACCTTTTCTTGCAACTTCTTCCTTAATTTAAAATTGCTAATCCTGTGAGACTGATAGTCCAAGCATCTACTTAAGACTGGAGCCCACTTTGCCCATAAATATGGCACTATTGTGAAGCAAGAATAAACTAATAAGTAACAATTTTAAATCAGTGCATCATTCTTATGTACAAACTTGCTTCAGTTTAACTATGCCAGTACAATACCATCTTTCTTTTTTAGAACTGTGTATAGTACACATTGGTCTTTCTATAAGCTACTCTAGACAATAATTTTGTAACTGAAGCATTTAATACAGCTTGGATTGTCACATTTCCAGTACCAAGAAACTCCTGCGGTGCCCTGACACGAGACTACCTTCTTTGCCAAGTGTTAGTATTTACTTGCAATCTGCATATGCAGAATTGATAAATGGTGAGAAAAATGCTCACTGTTTGCAGTCTTTGATCACTTCATCTGTAGAGAAAATATTTCTTTGTTGTAGTTTTAACTTACTAACTGGTATGATTTGTTTGCATTCTAGAGATTTTAAGCAGTATTCCTTTTGATTTTACACTCACAAATGCTATGTATCACATCTTGAATGAAACTTATTGAAATTTTAGAGTTGCTGAGAGTAATTAAGTCTGTAGAAAAGACTTCCTTTTTTTTTAGTGTAATCAGATATAATTGTTATCATTTCTTCAATCTCGTGGTTTCATTCTTTTAATAGATAATTCCTCAGCTTTGACAAAACCTATTGCTTTATTGTTAAAATCAGTTAAAATCCTGAAGCTTTATTATGCATCCCAAAGCAAATATTAATACATTGCCTTTTTTTACAAATCGCATTTAACTGAAAGCCTAAGTGATCTATAGGAATTCTTTTCACCTATATATCTTACTTTATACTTATTAAAAGAATCTGTATTTTTCAGCTGAAACAACTTTTGTAGCACAGCTGTGAGTTACATGATGATAAGACAGCTCCGTCTTTTACTACAGTATGACAGAGGCCACCGGAGCCATTTGGAAATTTATTGATCAGTTGCATCATGCAATTAATACCCATCCTGACCTAGATGAAAACATGCAGGTGAAATTTTTAGACATATTAGCCTATAATTTTATCAGAATTGTTAGAAGATATAGATAGTATATACATACTCTATTACAAAATAGAACTGCTATAAAATTTTGTTATTATCACAAAGGTATTTGGTAAAGAGATTAGTAAGTTAAGAATTTTAAAAACACTTTTGCAAAAGCAGAAATGGGGAGAGAGAAGGGTGTCAGCCCCCTTAGTTGACTTGCAAAAGTGTTTTCATGTGTTAAGTTTTTTGCACACAGGTGTTCTCTGACTACTTGCACGATGGATGAAGCCTTGGAGAGAAGCTGGTACTTTAGAACAAGGTTGATGTTGTTGTTGCAGGTAACAGTAGCACAACTAGAAGCTGTTGTAGCTAAGTTTCCTCAATATTATTAGAATACAGTTTTTTAAGCACAATTTTTCAGTATTATACACACCTTTTTAGTATATTTTTGAGGCACATAAATTATAGAAGTTAAGAATTTAAGAGAGTGTGTTGTGTGAATTTTAAATTACTCAATAGGCATTAGTAAAAGAAAGTTTATCTGTTTGGTTAAGAAACTTTAACATTATAAGGTATTAGAAAATTATTATCATTATAAGATACTAGAGAATTATAATTTTTTGACATGGAACTCAAAAGTATGTCTGCGTGACAGTGTGTATGATGGTGGCCACCGTGTGAATGTGTACAAATGAAAGTGTATGTATGTATGTGTGTGAATATATGAACACAAATACACAAACACCTTTGGATGAACAAATATACAAACACCTTTAAATAAAAACAGAAGACACATAACCCTAAATTGTATAGAGTTCCATTTGCAGAAGTGTTTTAGATTGAATAAAGGCTTTCAAGAATAAACCCTATATTTAGTAGCACCTTTCAGCAAAAGTTAAAGAGCACAAACCCTAAGGTCAATAGGTTGTTAAGTTCGTTAATAGTAATAGTAATTAAGTAATTATGTTTGTTGATATGTTATAGATATAATAAAGAATGTTACGAGAATACAGTAAAAATTGTTCAAAAGCAGAAATGGGGAATTGTGGCCGGAATAGAGAGATTTCTCCGAACAATTTTTCCTGCTTTCTGTAGGCCTTGCTTGACATGACTTTAGAAGTTGCAAGCTGTAATGTTTATACTTATAGACTGTGTGAAAATATGCAATGTTTATACTTGTGATATGGTTTGAGGCTGGCTCCCTGCCAAATCTCCAAACCTTACCACAAGAAGTCCCCCCCCCAAAACCCAGGGGAGAAGAGAAAAAAACCCAAGAGAACCAGAATGAGAGAGAGACAGCTAAAGCAATATATATAAATATATTTACACTTATATTACAGTTATATACAAATGAAATATATGTACAATTTCAATAGGGAAAGGGAAGGGGGAAGGAAAAAAAGGAACAAAACCAAAATAAAATATATATATATCCCAATCAATAGCCCAAGATCTAGCAACTAAAAGAATTAGCAAAGAATATCTTACTACTCTCCTTGGGACAACAGAAAGTCGCTCTGGAACGATCGCCGGCAACCTCCATCTCCCAAGGTCAGCAAGGCCTTACCAGGCCTCACTCCCCAACCCGACAGACTCAACAGCAGGGAAACCCACACCTCCAAAGCCGCCAGAAGGAAAGAAAAGGGCAAAGGCCTCTCTTCCTTTCTTCTTATACCCCGTATTATGTAAAAATCGTAGGGAATACCGGGTAAATCTGGGCACTTCCTTGGTTACAAACTGGTCACCAAGGAAGGCCTAGACCAAACTACCACATTCTCCACCCCTTATTCCATACTATTTTTACGTAACACCTATATCTCACGTTCGCCTACATCCCGCGTATATATATATACATATATACATATATATAGATGTAGTCCTTGTTTGTCCTCTGGCGCAGTTGTCTTGTCATTGAAAAAAAATCAACACTGACACCAGTTCAGTTCAGTCCAGATCTTTGGTCTCCTCAGTCACAATTACAGTTCTGATTTTAGGGCTGTTTCATCGTTCTGGGCTGTCTCATCATTGGATACTGGCATCAGCTTAGTTCAGGTCTCTCTCTTGTCTGGTGACTGGTTTCCTGTAAAACACAACTGTCCTGGTTAGAACGACTGGGACCAATTCATCACTGGATGGGTGCAACCCAAAACTGTGTATTCTATAGCCATCCATGCCATTTCCCAGAAACTGTTGTCAGTAGAGACCTGCAAGGTGGGAAGATGTTCCTATACCCTTTTATGGAATTCCCCGCTCTGATACCCTTTTATGGAGGAGGGACTGAGCATCCGCATGCCCTTTTATGGAATTCCCTACTCTGAGGGAGGGACTGAGCACTCCCGCCTGAACTGGAGAGTATATAACTGGGAGTTTCAGAACCTTGCCAGCTCTCGTGGGATCCAGAGGAATACTGCAGACCACTGCCTTCAACTAGACTGCAGACCACCGCGTTCAACCAGACTGAGACCACCACCCTCGACTGGACTGCAATCACCACTTCTGACCAGACTGCAGCAGCTCTCCCACCAGCAGGTTTTTCCCCTCTCCCTTTGCTTTGGACTCGGGGGTGGGCCGAGGTACACCACTCTTGTTCATATCCTAGGGTGCTGGGTTATACATTTGGGTTTTGTGGGTTAAAACCAATTGTCTGTCTGTATAATTGTACTTATTGCATTATTTTAATAAATTGTTATTCTGACTTATAAATCTCTCTTTTGAATTGAGTTCATTTTCCCTTGCTGGTTAACTTTTAAACCAGCACAACAACTCAGGACATGCAGTTAGTTTTTCCCCAAGGCTAAATGTCCTTGAGGCACACACTGGATCTCTCCGTCCTTCCTCATTACCCACCACGTATGTCCCGGCCCTTGAGCAAAGACAATCCCACAAATGGGTTTGTCTTGGCCTGAGGCAGGGGTAACCCAAACAGCTCTCCCTAGCATTCCCCTCAAGTGGATTGCTGGAACTTTGTCTCCATCTACAATGTGGAGGGATTCTGCTTGTGCAGGGCCAGCTCGATTGACAGAACCCCTGGTGTTAACTAACCAGGTGGCCTTGGCTAAGTTCTTATCCCAATTTTTGTAAGTTCCCTCACCTAGTGCCTTTAGAGTCGTCTTCAACAATCCATTACATCTCTCAACCTTCCCAGCAGCTGGTGCATGATATGGAATGTGGTACACCCATTTGATACCATGTTCCCTCGCCCAAGTGGTGACTAAGTCATTTTTGAAATGAGTCCCGTTGTCAGACTCAATGCACGCTGGGGTCCCGTGTCGCCACAGGACTTGCTTTTCAAGACCTAGAATGGTATCCAGGCCATTGCGTAGGGCACTGAAAAAGTCTCTAGCCATCCGGTGGTTGCTTCCACCATGGTAAGCACATAGCGCTTACCTTGGCGGGTCTGTGGCAATTTGATATAATCAACCTGCCATGCCTCTCCATACTTATACTTATCCCATCATCCACCATACCACAGGGGCTTCAGTCTTTTTGCCTGCTTAATAGCGGCACAAGTTTCACAATCATGGATAACTTGAGAAATGATATCCATGGTTAAGTCCACCCCTCGGTCTCGTGCCCATCTGTGGGTGGCATCTCGGCCCTGATGACCGGAGGCATTGAAACAGGAGCCAGGCCTAGAAGAGTTAACTGAGATATCTTGGCCTGCTAAGAAACCTCAATACCTGTTTTGCTAGAAGAACATTTTAGGAGCACTGGTTAATATCATGTTCTGTTCTGCTCACTGGACCAAAGGCCTTATTATAGAAAGAATAGGAGTAGTACACACACAGTAATAAATTAGGTAAACTAGACATTTGAATAAGATCTAGAAGGCCCAGAGCCAGGATTTTGCAAGCTTGAAGAATTCAGGTCACCTAATTGAAGAGGTCAAATTGAGGAAGACGTCCATGGCGACCACCAGAGGGATGAAGGCTTGAGCAGAAGACCCCTAAAGTAGAAGACTGCACATGTCTGGAAAGACTCTGCCCAGAGACCAGCCTACTTATTAATATGTATAATAAATGATGTAACCATGTATCTAAAGTGTATAAAATGGCTTAGTTTTGCACTTGCAAGTTGAGCAAGTTTGTCCAGCGTGAGCTGGCTTGCTCCCAACATTGAATAAACAAATACCTTGCTGCTGAAAGATAAAAAAGTTTCTGAGCAGTTTTTACGGGCCGATTTTTCAGATTCATTTGGCGACCTGCGGCAGGACACCTTCTCCACCTGGTTGCGGAATCCCTCGGAGGATGGGACCCCCTTGGGCGCCCTCGGGTAAGTCTTTTTACCCCAAGGGGCTCCGTTCTTCGGTGGCTTCTTGCGGGGTCTGGACAAGAACACTGCCTATTGATAAAAGGTATTTGTATCTGGTTTCTGGTTTTGTCTATTCTGGTTCTGGTTCTGGATTCCCATAAGTCGAAGGCGGGATGCCGTCCCTTGCAGGGATACGGGAGAGGACGCTCTCCCAGGGGAATGTCCCCTCTGGTCTGGTCTGGTTTTGTTTGTATTTGGCCAAATATTGTTTATTTTGAGGGAAATAAGGTTGTCTTGTTTGTTTTTGGAAAAGTTATTGTGTGCCTGATATACCCTGCTTACCTTGAAACATCCAGGAGCACATAGTTAAAGGTATTATCATGCTAAGAATTGCTATGTGAGAGGTAGTGCTGAAGAGTTAACTATAAGCACACCACTTTGGATAAGACCTAGAATTAAGATTTGTCCATTTAGCAACTGTTGGTTATATGTACAAACCTTGTGTAACAGATGTAAGGTTTGCCTCCCCGACAGATAAGGTTGGGTCAGAACCAGTGTGCATATTGTAGAAAAGAAGGACACTGGAAGCAAGAATGCCCTGAAT